GGTCCTTTCCTGAGAGAACAAATAGTTTCACAAGTGGTAAAATGAACTTCATATGGTTTCTAGCAACTCTCTCCTCAGCTGTAACAGAGGATGAGCTCATCAGGTTACATTCCATGGGGTTTAAGAGGGCATATTTCTTGTCATAAAACATGGCATCTTTTCAGCATCTACCACTGTATCAAAGTTGTTTACGTTGGCCAAAGCACTTCTACAAGTGGAATAAAGACAGAAGCGAACTTATACACAGGACACCTTAGGAAATGCAGCTGAAATTCCAGAAACCTTAGAAAAGTGAAACTAAATACGCCATACCATTGGTTAGGTCCTTAGAAAAGGTCATTCTCTGAATTTTTCTTCTTTCTGAAGGAATTGACACTTATAAACTCTTCTTCCTCAATAGATATCCAAGAACAGATGTCAGATTAGCTATTAGAAAACAGTAATTGCCCTTTTTTTAAATTTTAGTGAAGGAATTCATTGTCTACTGGATGATGACAGTAAAAGTGAACTTCTTTCTGTAGTAAGCTTGTAATGACTGGGAGTATCTTTAACAAGAATGTGTCAATAGGTTGCTGAAACTTGCAAGGACATGCAGGCATACAGAGCAAGCAGGATGAAACTTGTGTTTCTGAATCTTGCTGTTCATGCAACATGGCATTAGGAGAACATGCCCTAGCTGGGAAGAAGAAATAATGGATCTGCTGGGTACCCACAGTGGGGAAACTTCAGACAATCAGTATTTGCTGAATACTGAGCTGGACTTTCCAGTTCCAGGGCTGACACCCAGCTGCCCTCTGTGAAGGGGGAAGAAGGCAAACACTTCTGAAAATGCAGCTGCTTTGAGCCCTTAAATGGAAGCTCCTCTATCATGGACAGCTGGACTATCATGTATACCACTATGTTTAGTGGTTGGGAAAGAATTAAGAGGAAAAGAGAGATTAGTACAGATAAATAAAATATAGAGCAAGCTGCTTCCCAGGCAGTTCAGACTCTCTGCAGAGAATTGCCTCAATGTGAAGGATGGCTCCCATGTTCCTTCCACTCCTCTTCCTTATGAGGTAGTTTCCCTCCCCCAGTGCAGGGATGTCATTGTAACACCTGCCATGTAGAATATCCTCCTTCTGTGTATTGCTTAAATGGCCTTTTTGCCTTATGACTTAACATCTACTTTTATTCCTTGTGAAATGATATTATATGCTATTTAGTAAATGTGACAGGCAGTGTATTACCCACTGTCATCTTTTATTTACTCCCATAAAGCAGTATGGAAAACAGTTAACATGTGACATTCAGGATACTGTAATGCTGCATTGTACTGCTTTGCAACATTGCTTTGAAAGGGGCACTGCCTTTTCCTTTGCCTACATCTTTTCCGAAGTGTTTTCTCTTTTCTCCTGACTTTCCCCATGGCCAGTATCTGGTTTCCACAGGTTCCTCAAGTGTATCTGCTGAGGACAATGCTTGTCTGCTTGGAAAGGTCTTGTAATTTTAGTCTTACATCTTAGCTGCTACGAGAAGTATAGGAGCTGCTCACATCCCCTCGAACTGTTTCCCAGATGCTTGATGATTCATGAGGGGCCAACTTCCAGAGACTAAGCTGGGGTTGACTGTGTTTCCACATTTATCCAAACCACCTAACCCTGCAAAATCCCACTGAAATTCTCCATAGAAGACTAGTGCTTTTGGTTCTTGTCCTGGCTACCCGGCTCTAGGTTGTAATTTAGTGCATGGGGAAAGGGTAAGAGGGAAACAAGCTGTACCAGAGCTCCTGAAGAGTCTACTCCACTGTCAGGTGAAGGCTCTGGGTGGCTTTGCATTTTATCCTATGTGAGTTATAGAAACAGTATTTATGTGCATTCTTGACAAATATACTTCTTTTGTGGAGAAGGCATATCTTCATACTGTAATATTTTTATATCTCCTGCTTTACATTGTCTCCCCATGCTTCCCTTCAGCCTTTCCTCTATAATGACTTTTTACTGCATTTACCATAATAGAAATAGCAAGTCGCTGTGCTTTGATTTTTAAGCTTTTTAACATGTGCAGCTTTGTTTCTCCATTTACCTGTTCAACTTGGATACTGCAGAGCTGCACCAGCCATTACATTTCAGCACTGAGCTTGGTCAGCCATGATTGACTTACTGGCAGAGCACCCCGGTCTGTGAAATTCAGAATTTAACTTAAATGAAACGCCATGACAGAGCCTATCTTCTTGGGATACAAGAACACTGCTAACATATTTTCTCAGCTTCTGTAAAGTGCACTTTTTTTTTTTGTTTGGAGGTATATATATGAGCACATTAAAAAGATACTGTCCCTATCAGTCTCATCTCAGCAGCTAACAACTCCAGAGGAAAGCCTGTGCTAGGACTGTCTGTGGAAAGAGAGACTTTTCCCTCAGAGGCATGAAGCACACTGAACCACACAGTCAAATGCATGCTGATAGTGGGAAAATGGCAAGAGTTTGATGTCCAAGAAAGAAAAGCAAAGTACTCTCAAATATAGGCCAAATTCTGCCATGGTTTACTGCAGTGACTTTTGTTCAGACTTGGGGAATGGCTATTTCATTTAAAAGTGCAAAATTTGCTATCATTGAATGGTTTTATTTTTATCCCTTTTCTTGGATATTTTGGACATGATCTGGTGAATACCTTGTCCTCTTGGGTTCATTGGGTGTTTTCAGAGTCCAAAGGTCCTCAGCATTTCAGTAGGAACTCATTAGTGATGGCTGGACATTTTGTTTCATTCCAGATTATGGAACTGGGGGGGGGGGGGCATTTGGTGAATAGAGGTGTTTTCTGGGGTTTTAGTGGGCTTTTTTCTTAGTGGGAAAAAAATTGAGTAAAAGAAAATAGAAACCAGACTTGAGTGTAGATGTTCCTGATGAAAACTGCAACAGAACTGATAGGTGGGTGGTCTTTGTTTTCATTGAATTGTATTTCCAATGCTTGGAATTTCCAGTTGTTTGGTCAAAACAGAACTAACCAAAACTGGGTAGTTTTGCTCTTTTGTGAAATATGGAGTTAGGGCTGTATTTGCTTAGAAAGGGTGTCTCAGGATATAAGAACTTTTAATCTTGAATGAAAACACCTTAGAAAGATGTCACAATTAGATATTTGGAGATAGCTTTTACAGGAAGCCCAGACTTTTATCTTCTAAGTTTCAGGTTGCTTGTGAGCTAGAATTATTACCCTGTCAGAAGAGTAACAATGAACTGTTGACACACAGCCACACTTTGCTTACAGCTACGTGCAGGGAGGTATATACAGCCTGGAAACAGTGAACCGCAAACTGAAAAATAGATGTACTTAGCATGAAGTTTGTCCTATTTCCCTGGGTTCCTGTTTACCATAAGCATTATGAAACAAATCTATTTCTTTTGGATAAGGAGCTTAGAAACCTTCAGTCAAACATAAGATTTTATTTTAAGAAAGCGAGCTTTGATTATAAGGCAGATGGCTGTGGCTGTTTGCTTACTTTGGATTTCTATTTTCAGTGTTCATAGAGCGGCTTAGTGGGAGAAGTTTTCTTCCCATTAGCTCTTCCTCAGTAGCCAAATTCAGGAGAAAGCATCAGTTTGATATATCTATTGCATGTAGTGGAACTGAAGGATGACCTGACATTCAGTGGAGTACTGGAGGCAATTCTCAGTTTAAGATTAAGAGTTCAGGAGTTTACATGAAAGCAGGTGCCCAAGTTCCCATATTAAGTAGAAATTTGGTCGATGCAGTGCTGTGACTGACTCAGGACTTGTCCAGGGGTAGCTCCCATAGGCTGCTGACAAGGGGCTCAGCTTGCCCGCAAGACAGCACAGCTTTCACGGGGGGCTACTGGATGTGCTGCCAGGCCTCCCTGTCCTCATGAAGGTCTGTGTCTTAAATGGTGTGAGAAGTCTTTCTGTTGGTAACCGAGCGGAGCCCTAGATCCCTGCACACCACATGGGGAACACAGATAGCTGTCTCACAGGTAGAGGCTCATATCTGAGTTTCTTAACTAGGCACTGGACCCAACCATGATCTGCGTGTTGCCTTGGAGCCTTCTGGTTTGCAAAATTTTACCATACTAAAGTGTCAATGCACAAAAAAGAGTTATGTGTAGTTCTTTGATGCTGAGAGCCAAATTCCCGTATCAGTAATAGCTAAACAGTGCAAGTCCATGGTTGGAACTGAGAAGACATTTTGACTTTAAGAGAGCTGGGTCTTGCCACAGTTCCTATAATCTTTGGAGCCAAAGATTTACTGCTTTACCTCAGTAGAAGTAAAATTCAGGAACAATTGAGTCAAAGATTTACTGCTTTACCTCAGTACAAGTAAAATTAAGGAATAATTGAGTATTTGCTTAGGTAGAAGTTGTGGAATTTTAATTAAAGAGTTGACTATTTGTCTTGAAGTTCAGAAGATGTTGGCGGGACAGTTTTTGACTTCATTGCTTACACGGTTTGTAAGCATGGAATAGCTTACATGACCCATTGACAGCAAAGTATTCACACCATATAAATAAAATAAAAATGTTACCTGTGAAGAAATACTGAAGCACAACAAACAAACTTAGACTCACGCACACTCACTTTCCTTTAGCCTTTTATTGCTGTTTTTGATATGAGGGCATCTCTTCCCAGAGCACCAAATCTGGGAAGAAGAGCTCTTTATCTTGTCACTTCACTCTGTCTCACTTTGTTCTCAAGCTTGCACTTCTATTGAAGTTAAAATTACGCTTTAAAACCAACATGGTGAGAACGAAATTATATATATATATCAATGGAAAAGTAATGATATATTTATCATGAAATAAAAAATATGTATAGTTGAGTACTGGTTTTCTTGTTGGTTTTAGGGGGGTGAATTAATAGAAAATATTTCCTGTTTAATAACAGCTCCTAGACCCAACTTTTTATAGACTTTAAATGCAAGTAATTTGTTCTGTGTTATAAACTGTTGTGTTTTTTGCCTTCCTGTAACTGGAACAACATACTAATTTCTACAAGTTGTGACTACTAACAGAGAGCAATCACCTCACAGACTTGTACCGAAAAGAAGAGACCATCAGCGTGGCAGGGAACGGCTGCATCCACAGTCCTCGCTTCCCCAGCAGTTACCCCAGGAATCTCCTGCTGACATGGCGGCTCCACTCACCCGAGAGCACCAGGATCCAGCTGGCTTTTGATAATCAGTTTGGACTGGAGGAGCCTGAAAATGATATCTGCAGGTGAGTGGTGGAAGTTTGCAAGGGGCTCCTTAACACCGCATTCAAGCTTAAGGATGTGGCCACTGGCATGAGACTGCAAAACAAAACCTGGGTATTTCTGCCTGGGTCTAGGGTGGCCCTGCTTGGAGGACAGACCTCCAAGGGCCACTTGCAACCCAAACCAGTCTTTGAGTTTATAAATAAACTGAGCTGCCCTGGACTTGAAGCCATTTTGTCAGGTCTTGGTCCTTCTATAATATTTTAAGCACAAGGTACTTGAGCACTTAAATCCAGCTACTTAACAACTCAGGTACTACTTTAACGGGATTTTGTCCTCTATCACCTCTGTTATGTTTTAGCCAGGCAAAAAACACCTTTTTCAGTAGGTGGAAGGCTCTGGGAGGTGTGAGCAAGTAGGTATGTGTTTATATTGGGGTGTAAGGGACAGATAAAACTTCACTGGTATAGTTTCTTTTAAAACCATTAAATATAAGTCCACAAACATCAGTGTACTCTGCATACTGATATACCTAAGTATATTCTACTATATCCCAGTTGCTTTGTTTTACCCTTTTAAGCAGAAGTGACTGTAAGCTCAGCTGATCTGGCTCATTAACCCAGGTGGATAAATTGCTTTGCATTAGCAGAGCACAGATCTGAACCTTGCCAACACTCACTGGAACAGTATAAAACCATGGAGTTTTCTGTTTATATTTCATTTCTTTTCTTCAGCTATCTGTTATGCAGAAGAGAGCAGACTCAGGCTTTCCGTGTGCTCTGAAAGGCAGATTGCTGTGATGTTACTTATATAAAAAGCTCGAGTCTCAGCTTCCAGCTCCCTGCCTGATCATGTTGTTACTTACACCTTATCTATGCAGAGAACTGGGCTGTTAGGATTTCTGCACATGGAGCCTCTGCTTATCTTCTTTGTCAATTAGTTCGCATGTATAAGATTTGGCATCTCTGCAGGGTTTTACAGGGTGGATTTTTTTTTCTTGTTTTACTTTGTTAATTTTTCTGTGTTACCGGTAGAGAGAACCATTTCTGCAGGTTTGCTTTCCATTTAGTAATAAAAGGATGCAGCTTGAAACTGGCTGTCCTTCCCGCCGCCTTGATGGTCTTGGCAGCAGCTGCTCTGCTGTGGTACTGTTGGTCCAAGATCAGCAGCAGAATCAGTGATGACAGTTACTTCCTAGCACCACGAATGCTCTCCCTTATTGGGAGCCTAATGCATACAGAAGCGGATTGTTAATATTTACATAGCAGCTAAACTGTGGCTGACCTTAAAGCATTGCAACTTTGAAATTGAGGACTAATTTACTGTGGAAAAAAAAAAAAAAAGATTAAGTCTTCTGTCAAGAGCCATTGAAGGTGGTGGCATGGTGAGGGGAAGTCAAGCTGTTACTGGCATTATGGGTTTGGGGACTGTCTTTTTTCCAGAACAGCAAATTTAGGATGCAGAGAGAAGCAAAGACCTTCCATAGTGTCTGTAGAAGCTGGAGAAATACTACATTCTTTTCTACAATAAAGCTTTCCCAGGCATTCCTGGAAGACCTTTATTTGCATAGTATTATTTCCAGAGTGAGGAATTTCTTGGGCAGGCAGCTCATGATGGCTTTAAGCCTGCTAAGTACTCTGTGCATAGTAAGATTTTTCACTAATGCTCAGTATGTTTCTCAAAACTAGGTCCTTTCTGCAGCTTCAGTCCCGGACAGTCCCTGCAGTGCTGCTTTAGAGAGACAGCCAGGCGTGTTTAATTGAAATGAATGCTGAGAGCTGAGCATGTGCTTCAATACTGTGCACAGTGGACAAGTAATTCAGGATCTCTACACCTTACCTTCCTTTTGTACTTGCTTTTGACCTTACACTTTTTATTTCCAGAAACAGTGTTTTCTTTCATTTTTTTCATAAATGCTAATTATTTTAATTTGCATACTATTAAGACTGAACTGATTGAAATTCATTCAGATGGAGGAATAGAAAGGTATACATTAGCAGAGCTGTTTCAGAAGGAGAAGAATTATTCACGGTTTTACAGAATTTTCTAGAAATGCTGCTAGCATTTCCACAGGCACTCGATAAGAGGTGATTCTGAAAAGCAATTAAATCACCCAGCCTCTGAGGCTCCTTGGATGCACAGAAACAACTGAGATTGCACCTACTTCCACGATCATTGCAGCAAAGCTGCTGCCGTTGAAAGCAGAAATAATCCCTGGAAGCCCCGTTTTTCCTAGCAGTTAGTCTGCCTTATGGCCTCAAAGAGTGGGGAGGACAATTTTCCCTGAAGCCTACAAGGTTATCTTATTCTGAAGCCTCTGCAACCGCTTGTGCTAAAGTCAGCATTCACTGGCTGCTGTGCTGCCTGGGGGCAATGGTGGATGCCCCTGGGCAGGAAGTGCAGAGCTCTGCTCTGGTACCATATCCATACCATGAGGGAGTGGAAGACTCTGGAGAGAGCTTGAGATGAGTTTACCTCTGTCTGGAACTAAACTTTGTTGTGTTACAAAAACTGTATGTGTCAGCAGAGTTCGGACATATTTAAGTGATTTGGTTAAGAAATGTTATTTTCTGTTCTATGCAATTTGCGGTTGGTGAATGTAAGAGCAGCAGTACTGATATTCTCAAGCCACATAGTACTTTTGTGTTTTTCACGTGGCCTCTCAGAAGAAATAGATAAGCAGGTCTGTTATTTACAGAGCTCTTCAGCTCCCACAACTGGGCAGAGAGGCAGGCACCTGGCCCGCAGACCCAGGGGTGGGGAGCAGCATATTGCTAGTAAGCAGTCTTAAACTCTCTCCTTGGAGGGAGCACGTTTTGGTAGTAAAATCATTTCATGGTAAAGATCTTAACTGTACTGTGTGGATGGCAGGTCTCCTCATCTCATTGCCCCCATCAACAGTCTGCTCTTGTCATCACCTCTCCCTCTCTGGCTGCAATGTGTGTGGCCTAATTCTACCTCCACAGATACTGAGGGTCTCCTTTTCTCATAGGCTGAGTGAGATCAAGATTTTATTCTCTGCCTTCCTTTTTCTCCAGCTCTATAAATTAACTCAATACACAGCCCAGGCAAGCAAATGTGCACACTGTGGCAGTGAGTGTGGTCTATGTGTCCCATCATCCCTGGGGTTTAGTGTCTGCTGCTCTTGTCAGAGCCCTCTTTGGGCTCAGGACACCAAGACTGTGGTATGGGTGCCTGGCCAAGGTGTGACCTTTCACAGGGCAAGACGTGCTGTTGCTTTTACCCTGGTGACAGCACCCATGCAAACAGCATAGGAGTCCCACCATGGCACACAATGTGCCAGCCTGCCCTTTTCCACTGTCTTTCCAAACCATCTAGCAGGAGCTCGGTGCCACCTACAGAGAAACTCCTTAAAAGCACCTTTCAATGCCATGAACTGCCCTGTGTCCTTCCAGGATCTACCTTTGCTCCTGGACACAGTGGTAGCTCAGTTCCAGCCCTCTGAAACGATATCAGAAACTTCACAAGTGCTTGCAGCTGCTCTGCTTGGGCAGCCTGCCTTAAATAATATTATTAGGTCTCTATATTATTTATCCACCACATGAAATGCAATGTATATGCTTACAGTGCACTAAGCACATGCAAGTGCCTCTCATTGCTACTTTAATGTGGTAGAAAATACTGTCATGTTCCAGGAGCCCAAAAATCATCCATTTGAGCACATCCACCATTTGTAGTATCTGTTCTGATGTTTTGCAATGGAGAACGGGGGACAGTTGTCTTTGTGTCTCTAGCTGTGCTCCTGTATAATTGCAATCATCTTCTGTAACTAGAGTTGGCAAAAGCTAATTCTTTAAACTGGTTCCCAGGTACGACTTTGTGGAAGTGGAAGATGTATCGGAGACCAGCACAGTTATACGAGGACGGTGGTGTGGGCACAAGGAAGTACCTCCAAGAATAACATCAAGAACAAATCAGATAAAGATAACCTTCAAATCTGATGACTACTTTGTGGCTAAACCTGGATTCAAGATTTGTTACTCCCTTGTGGTAAGTCACTTAACCATGTCATGGGTGAGAGAAATAGTAGTGTAAAAGAGCATCGGTACTTGGAGACTGGATGGTGTTGCTAACTGTATTGGATAAAAACACTAATTGACTGAAAGTATTTTCAATCCAGCAATAGTGTATTTCAGATACAAATACAGATCAAAGGTTTCTTTTATATCCTGTCATTAAATATAAAATAAAGTCAAGTCCAGGCCAAGATTTACACTAATAGCATGTTTCAGAAGCACCAACACTTTCTACACTGAGATTGCACTGCCAGTTCTTTAAGAGGTACTGCAGAAATAGCAAAGAAATGGCTGCTCTGTGAACTCCTTTTTTGTGTTCATTTGAGGGCAAATAAAAATACCTTGAGGGGTTATGGCTGTGATTCTGAGTTAGATGCAGAGTAGTTTATTCTACATTCAATGAAATTCTACATGCAAAACATTGTGCTAAAGCTCAGGCTGTATTTTTAACCACATATAAACATTCCTCATTTTATATGCGGTGGCATTAGCAGTGTATCGTGTACTGTTTCAATGAGATTAAAACCTCCTCTGTTTTTATTTTGGTTTTGTCTTCAGGAAGCAGGAATGCTTATTGCTTTAAGTAGGTTTTTATAGAAATACATATTCCTTTGTATTCTCCTGATTGATATTATAATGCTTCTGGTGCAGTGTAGCTCGGAAGAGGTAGATTTTGCAAACACTCAGGAAATGGTAGGCATTAATTTATTGTACTGTCATCATTATATTTTCATATCCATCACACTTCGTATTCCCTTTTTATTCAATCCACTGTTACTTAACAAGACTAAGAAAGCCTGGAATAGCAATAATGTTAGTGCTGTAACAGGAGAGATTCATTGTTTGAGTCATTTCATTTCAGGCTCTCGGCTTTGCATGCATGCGTGGCTATGTATGCTAAAAAGAGTCCATAAACAGCACATTGTCAAGACAGCTCTAAAGCTATAAAGGTTGTGCTCCCTTGCATTTAAATTGTTAGGCTTCTAGCAGAGTAAGGCATTGCACTGAGAGTAAATCCTGAGCTCTAATTTACTGTGATTTGAAGGTAATCTACTAAAACTAAAATTTAGGTTGAACAGTCCGTGAAAGACCACTGGGCAGAAAAATGAGACAGTAAAGCAGCCTCTTTTCACACTGCTCATATTTCAGTGGAGCCACAAAAACTCGACTGCATTTAGAAAGCTTTATTCCAGACCATGTACAGCTAGTCTGATAGTATTAGGCTTTCCAAAAATGAATGTTGTCACTCGTAACACACAGTATTTTCTGCACTAGAAAGCTCAGAAAAGGCTACTGCATTTATCTAATTTCAAAACTATGAGTAAACAGAGAATTTTACAGTCTAGCAAATCTATTCAGAAGAATAATCTCCAAGTGCACCGTTTGAATGAAATACTGTCATATTTCTGAGAAAAGAACTGTAGTGGCATTTGCGAGATGGGAGATGATACGTGCTTAGCTAGTCTTAAGATTCCAAGCAGTTCTACCTAAAACTGCAGAATTAATATTCATCAGAGTCAGTCCTTATTTGATAGTCCCTCCAGCCACTTAGAGTTCAGTTCATAGATATGCTGAGCACTGCTGACCTCTGAAGGTTGAACTCAGTGTGCATTTTCTAGGCAGCAAACCAGGTAGTATTAATGAAGCAGGAAAAAACATATGGTATTTCATATAAGATGAAATGAAGGACCTTTACATTGCCTTTCCCCCCTTCCCCCCTTTGTAAATTCCTCCAAAACAAGGCTGCTTCTAGGGGCTTTCTTGGAAAATGGTGCACAATATATGTGCAAATCTTTTACTTCCATGATTTCTCTTATATATGGAGCTTGCCCCTCCATGGCTGTTGTTTATATGTATACTAGAATCTGACTAATAAATTTTCTAAGCACAATGGAAGCAAGCGATTTGGAGAGTTCACTTGAGTTTATTGATCAGATGCATCTTCTGAGCGTGGTGCCAGAATGGCTGGGTGAATTTCTTCCTATTGCATATGCAGCCAAACAGACTTGCAGCCTTGCTCTCTGGCCTTCCCAGTTATAAGTTCAAGGAAGTCAGTTAAGTTCATTTGGTGCAGATCAAGTTTTAACTTAGTTCAGCACTCTGCATGAGGCACAAATAAGGCACCACAGAGCTTAGCAGAAACATACTTCATTATCTACTGGTGTTTTTGTATTAACATCATATTTCAGTGCAATTTAGAGAAACAAAAAGGGATTATTTTTCCAAAGAAGATATAAATTAGACTTGTGTCCATGGAAATCATGTTTGCCCTTATGAAACAAGGCATGCAAAACTAAGTGACCCATGTAAGATGAAAGGGCTCAGTCACAGGATGGTGGGATTAGAATTCAAAGTGACTCTGAAAAATAAGGCTGAGAAAAACACAAGCATGATCTTTAACAGGATAAGGTTGAAAGCCACACAGATGCATGGGAGTAATTAACTGTTCCAGTATAAGATAAGGGGCAGTAGGCAAGGGAGCAGATCTGTAAAATAAAGTCTGACCATCTAAATGCAGTGCTTAACAACTTTTGCTTGCCAGGTCTGGCTCCCTCCACCTTCTCCTCCTCTCCCTGCATACTCTGTATATGAGTACCTCTGCCTCTGCCCTCTCCTCTGTGTGGCTGAAGGACTAGGAATGCTAAAGGGGGAGCAGTGAGGGTGATTTTGGAGGAAAGTGGCCTATCCAACATGCTGCTTACCGTTGCCTGTCCCTGATCTGTTCTTCCCCCTTGAAGCCGTAAGACTCCTGTGTAGGATGAGAGCTCCAAAATGTACCTGACTCCAGGAGCTTATTAGTGAGTTGACTGTGCCCCACTGCTTATCCCAAGTTGAATAAGAACCAAAAGTGTCCTAACATGGCTGGAAAATGTCACACCTATTCTGGGCTGTTTGTGGCAGTGCACTTAGCAAGCATGAGCAGCTGGTGGCTAGTGTCTAGAGGTGCTTCACGTTCAAATGCTCACTTGTAACTGTGCAGTTTGTTGGCTTAGCCCGGGTATCCACACAGAGAAATGTCGCCCTTGAGCCTGTTAAAAAATTGTCTTTTCCTTCAAGCTTCACAGACCTAGAGCAAAAGTGGTCTTGAGCAAGCCCTGGACAGCAATTAGGAATGAGCCTCCCTTAGGTGCAGATTTGTTTGAAATCCCTCCCTGCCATTATCACTCAAACTGCTTATTGCTCAAACATTTTCTTTGGGGTTTTTTGTTTTTTTTTGGGGGGGGGGTGTTGGTTTTTTTTTTTTTTTTTTTGCGTGTGTGTGGTTTTCTTTTTTGGTTTGTTGGTTTTTTTTAGTTGGCTTAGAAACATTAATTTTCAATATATAAAGCACTGAGGTATTCCAGACTTTTTTTTTCTCACACATTATATAATTTCTTGCTCTGCTTTAAGAAATTATAGCAGCCTTCCGGTATCTGAAGCGGGGATATAGGGACTGTAGTGACAGGACAAGGGGTAACAGGTTAAAATTTAAACAGGGGAAGTTTAGATTGGATATAAGGAAGAAATTCTTTACTGTAAGGGTGGTGAGGCTGAGCTGAGAATGCTCCATCCCTGATGGTGTTCAAGGACAGGTTGGACGGAGCCTTGAGTGGCATGGTTTAGTGTGAGGAGTCCCTGCCCATGGCAGGGGGGTTGCAACTAGATGGTCTTAAGGTCCTTTCCAACCCTAACTATTCTATGATTCTATGATTCTAAGGACATACTGTGTCATAGAAAACACTATAGAAATATGCAATTCAGCAGAAGGTAAGTAATCTTAAGTTAGTTTCACAGTTGCTAGATGGGAGGTAACAGTGTCATGAGAAAGGCCCCTGGCTTTACACACCTTGAAGTAGGTGATGTGAAAGCTTCACATTACCACAAATGTAAAGTTTCATTCGACTGCTGCTTGCAATTACCTCAATGGAGGTATCTTGTGTGTAGCAAGTAAATATTCAGTAATTACTAAAAATACTGCATCAATTATTTTGAGATGTAGGAATGTAAATTAAGTTGCACTGTTACACATGGAAAAGATATTTGATTGAAGGCATTTTATACTATCCCCTTTTTCCTTCTGAAATGAAATTCTTCCTATGTCTTAGTTCTGGAAGGGAATGTTAACGAGACTGTACCCCATGTTTTACAAGTACATTAGCATGGATATTTACTAAAATAACCTAAGAACTCACCCAGGAATACGTTCCAACAATAAAGGTGAATGTTTTGAATTAAAATTCCCAACCCTGCATCTAATTTCATTTTAATGAGACAACTAGAAAATGTTGGATTCCATTTGCTAATTAAAAACATTAAGTTTGTTGTAAAAGGCACATATTTGTTATACATTTATAACAGTAAATTGTTATTGCCTTACTAATTGTTTCATTAATCCTAAATGGAACCCATATTTTGGAACTTCGATTAAAATCATCATTGGAAACAAGGGCTACAAAAAAGCTAGGAACATATGTATATGTACAAACATGCATATATAGAAAGATGTAAGTTTTAAATATATATTTATATCTTTTTACATATATACACATATATCTGTGTGCTTTTAACTTTCTTTTATTTATAATTCATAACTAGGAAACATCACATGGCATTAAGAGCAATTTTTACTTTTTTGGAATTGCAAACCAACAGTGATGGGCATCTTGTGATAAACAGGAGAACATAAGTACATTTGTTCCAGGATAAACTTATGTGTCAAAATGTGTATCAGTGTGTTAGATAATGAGTAATTTTTACTTGTTTCAAATGACATTTTTTGAATGAAGGACCCACAAAGAAATAGTTGGAATGGAGGAGGGGGGAACTTTGGGTTTTAATCCATCATGTGGAATTTTACAAAAAAGGTAGTGTTCTGCTACTTTCTGAGGCTACAGGTCATCAGTTATATGATTTTTAAAAAAGAGCATTGGTCAAAAAGTGGGGTAAAACACCACAGTCAGTGTAATAAAATTTTATTACTTTCCCATATAAAAA